GTATGTAATAAGAAATGTCTAAGGGCCTTATTTCATCCAACAGTATGCCTATATACAACGGAGGAATATATATAAACCTGCGTCATGCAGTGTTTAGATCTATGGTATAGGGCATAGGCCTACTTGAGAAAATGTACGCCTACACGAGCGGAGAGAAGGTCAGCGCACGGTGAAAGTCTCGCGGCGTCTCTGCCATATTTGTTCATGGATCTCGAAGGCGCTCCCTCACCTCTGAGTCACTTGACTCAGCACCCGACTCACGCTCCACAATTCATGCCAAAGAAACTCACGGTTCGCCGGAGAGATTCGTATCTTGATTTGCTTGCGTACTTTTTACTGACTCATCAAATAGATTTTTATCTTTAGCTGTTAGTTTACACATAAAGCCTTGATCACTGATTCTTCTAGTATTGCTGAGTACTTGTATAAAAGGCATGAATGAAAATGAATATTTTCACAATACAGAAATACATGTATTTCTGTGATATAATCGAAACCAGTCAGATACACCACTTGTATTGTAAAAATGTTAATTCTCGTTCATATCATTTATACATTTGTCAACATGAATATGGTTCATTACTCAGTGCGTTGTCTGCCCAAACTCCCATATATCGTTTGGTTTTACTGAAGCTCTGTTGACTTTCTAATTGGCTCGTTGACTCACACCCCCCCTGGTTACACTCCTAATTTATGGAATTTCCGATTGGGTTACCTACACTCGACTTACTGATTCCCTCCCCTCATGACTCAGCGGCGTGAGTCACGGCTATGAAGGGTTCCCACACTCAGCCAGGAAGGCGGAGGGACTCAGCTGATGGGGAGGAAGCGTCCAGCCACGTGACCTTCAGTGCATGTTTTTCCTTCGCTCTTTTGCTCTGCCCTTTTCAGTTTCCCTTGACGCAACTCCAGTCACATTTCTTTCTTTGGTTTCCGATTATTTATATTTATTACTTTGTTTATCGCTTGTCACCCTATGTCACACATTTGCTCTTTATCCTCCTCCTCCTCCTCTGGTCCGCTTTTCCCTCCGAGCTCCTGGCGCCGCTGACAACAGGCTTGCAGGTCACGTCGCCAACTGACGGAGGGAGAAGCACGAATTTCCCCGTCTAAAACGAATTTATATATATATATGTGTGTGTGTGTGTGTGTGTGTGTGTATTTTTTCAACAGCCATTCATTCCACTGCAGGACATAGGCCTCTCTCAATTCAGTATTGAGAGGTTATATGGCAGTGTTACCCTTGCCTGATTGAATGCTCTTCTTAATCAACCGCGGTTCAGTGCGCTAACACTTGTGCCACGGCGGTGACATCCCCAACGACACCTGCGTTTGACTTCTCAAGCCGATATGTCGTTTTCTCGGGCTCGAGGTAGCAGTCAGAACGCAGGCATTTTTACGACCGCCGCGACGTATGTAAATGTATGTATATATATATTATATATATATATATCTAATATATATATGTATATTATATATATATATATATATATATATATATATATATATATATATATATATATATATATATACACACATTATATACTGTACATATATATTATATATATCATATATAATATATATATATATATATGTGTGTGTGTGTGTGTGTGTGTGTATGTGTGTGTGTGTGTGTGTGTGTGTGTGTGTGTGTGTGTGTGTGTGTGTGTGTGTGTGTGTGTGTGTGTGTGTGTGTGTGTGTACACTATACATACACTGTACACAAGCATTGGCGATCAGAGCAACTGGCACTGCGCACGACTACCCCAGTTATAAATTACCACGCGATCTGTTTCTTTCTCTTCCTTAAAGACAAACAAAAAGCAAATTGCTTTGCATTCCTCCGAGCGGTGAAACTGTCGGCGCCATCTCGTGTCTGAGGAAAAAATATAAAGAAAGAAAACGGAAGAGCCGCTGTAATGCGCGGGAAAGGAGGCTGGCACGGATGGCGCTGGAATAAATGCCGACCTGTGTTTTTCTTTTTATTTATATTTTCTCTCTTACTCGGAAACCTTAAATTTTACTGCATTCTTGTGGTTTATATATTCATGTGTTTTGTCTATAGTGATGAGCGATGGAGTGTCAGGATGCGGTAACCCCGACTCGAAAGTTTTAGCGGTAGAGCCTGCCATAGCTCTGCTCACCTCGCCTGTTTGCGTTTGGTCCATGAACACTACATTATTTCTCGCTCAGCTGAATGGTGCATGGCATGACATCAGCTTGCCAGAATAGAGGTTTAATTTTTTTGAAGGCGGTTTAACAGCCCCACGGTTTTCTTTTTTCGACGGAAATACTTTATTACTAATGTGGGAACGAGGGTTCTCGTGTCCTTGGTGCAGATACTCAGAAATCATATTAAGAGGACACAAAAAAGTTCCCATGTTACTCATCGCTGCACAGTATCCTGTCATGGCTAATTCGTACTCCTTTGTGGTTCTTGCAGGACCTACAGCGTGGTGGCGCCGCGGATTCTGCGGCCGAACAGGGACTACCATGTGGT